TTTTCTGTCTGCCACCTGCCTACTCAGGGATGAGGTCACACCATGCTCCTGCACTGGCCCCACACCGGCCCACAGGGCCAGTGCACCTCCCCGGCTGAGGTCACTGCACAGGGGCAGAAAGCATTTTCAGTCACATGGTACACCCAGCCAGAATCTCCCCCACAAAGCACTCCTTATTAGGAAAAGCTGCACCCCAGTCCTCCACTTTGTTCCTCTTGGGGTACTTGGACTGGTGGCAGCATGCATGATACTCCAGGAATCCCAGGTATGCAAGACCCCTGGAGGCTTGTGGACCACGGCTGGCAGACCATGCATGGTTCGCCTCCAACAGTCAGCGGGCATTTCTCCCCGAAGGCCCCCTGCCCCCACAGTGTGCTTCCTGACTTCACCCTCCTCTGGAGACACTCCTGCGTCCGAGGCCCTAGGATCAGGGCTTCCTGTTCCAGGGCACGGTTGCAGAACACAGCTGGGCATACTGACCAGAGAAACTCATCCACGCTAGTTCAACAGGGTCTGGGAGGCATGGGAAGGGAGGAGCCCTGGCTGGGGCTGTTTTCATGCTACTTCCCATTTGCAAAACTTGAAGCAATTCCATTGCAACTCAACAAACTTCCATCTCTGCCTGTCTTGACAAGCATCATCGGTGCTCTGATAGGGCACAGCCTTGGCCTCTTCCAAGACAGAGAAAGCAAAGATAAAACTCCACTTTCCTTAATAAATGACTCCAAGATCTCGGTGGTTGGAAATAGAGGGGGACCACCCATGTGGGAAAGGAGCAGGCCGGTGGCATGACCCTGGCCATGTTTCCCTACTCCCTCTGAATTCTTGTGAGTCATCAGCAGTGCTGCCAGGAAGACTGGGGAGAGGAGCCTCTCCAGGCCCCCCTTAGCACTGGGACCAGCTGTTACCCACGCCCTTCCCTCAAGGTCCCTTTGCCCTGGCTGGGGCTGTAGACAGGGCTCTCCAGAAGGCCTAGAGGGTACAACTATTAATCAGGCTACCTCTGCAGTTGGTGCTGTTACCAGATTCTCAGACAGTAAATGTCCATCTGAACTCACTGGATTGGGGAATTGAAGGTTTTCAGCAAGCTTCCTAGGTCATTCTTACCATTATGAAAGTTGGAGAGACACTGCAGGGCCTGCCCCCACCCAGCAAAGACCCCACCCAAGTGCTCAGTGTGCCCCAAGGGCAGCTCCTTGAAGATCCAAGGAACCACCCGTTTTCTCTGCTGACGTCTAAGGCTGCATTCTGAGGGCTAGTTCCCGTAGCCTGTTCCACTCCTTTCCTGAGACCTACCCCGGGATGATAACCCCCTTCAGATGAGCAGACACATCGCCTCAATCCTCAAAACAACACCCCTGATAGTGGCCCAACAGTCATACCCACATGAGGATTCAGGGAGCCGCCAGGGCTTCCTGCCCTACCCCATTCTCAGGCGAAAATCTCAGGTAGAAATTGGATAAATGTCTGCTTGCCTTTCCCCTGGGCTCTCTCCTCCAAACTGCTGCTTGCCTTGATCTGCCCTATTCCTCCTTCACTTTTATGTTGATGAAGAAATACCAAAGACAACTTACTAGGGAGAATTTGTCTTACCTCAGTAGAGTTGTCTGGTCAGGTTAGTTTTCTTAACTGATCCCAGAGGAGGACAAAGAATTGACATGAATTCTACAGTGTCTAGAGGTAGCATGGTGGTACTTCGCACCATAGGTAGGTCATCCCACTTGAATTTGCAGACCACATTCCTATTTTATGTAAGGTGGGGACATCAGACTTCCCAATGCCATAAGAAGAAAATCCGGAATACGATTTAAATATTGGGTCAACTTTTCATTACTATAATGAAATACCTGAGGCAGGCTGACTTGTAAGGAAAAGAGATTTATTTAGCTCATAGTTTTGGAGGCTGGAAGTCCAACCAGATGGCATAGGCTCTGGCAAGATTCCCCTCCCCACCGCTGGATAGCATCAGGCAGGAGCAGGTACCTGTGTGTGTGTCTCTCTGTGTATCTATGTATCTGGTCTCTATCTTCTTATAAAGCCACTGGGATTCTATCACGGGAGTCCACCCTACTGGCCTTATTAAACCTAATCCCTTTCCAAAGACCCCACCTCTAACCACCTCTAATCTATAGTAGGATTAGTTTCTAGCCTCTTAATATCAGTAACACATGACTTTGGGGATTAAACTCCTGCATGAGTTTAGAAGGACAAACCCGTAACAATCTGTAAGATTTCCTGAGCCGATGATAATGTTTGGTGTTCAAAAACAAGCATCTCACATGAAAAGATATTCAATACCATTAGTCATTAAGAAAATGTAAATTAAAACCTCAATGAAGCCCGGCAGGCGCAGTGGCACACGCCTGTAATCCCAGTGGCTCAGGAGGCTGAGGTAGGAGGATCACAAGTTCAAAGCCAGCCTCAGCAAAAGCGAGGCACTAAGAAACTCAGTGAGATTTTGTTTAGAGACAGGATGGGGATGTCTCTCAGTGGTAGAATGCCCCTGAGTTCAATCGCTGGTACCCCTCCTCCCCCCCAAAAAAGAAGCTCAGTGAAATACTATCTCAAATAAGAAAAATGTGTTTGTAAGGATCAGAAAAACTGGAGGGGCTGGAGCTGGGGCTCAGTGGTGGTGCGCTTACCTAGCATGTGTGAGGCACTGGGTTCGAACCTCAGCACCACATAAAATAAACAAAATAAAATAAAGCTATTCTGTCCATCTATAACTCTAAAAAAATTAAAAAAAAAAGAAAAACTAGAATTCTCATACATTGCGATAGGAATGTAAAAGGGTGTACCACTGTGGAAAACCCTTTAGGGGTTCCTCAAAAACTATAATACAAAGTTGGAAAATAACCCAGCAATTCCATTCCTAAATACATACCCTACAAAGAATTGGAAATAGGCACTCCAACAAATACTTGCACACAAATGCTAACACCTGCACTATTCACAATGGCCAAAATGTAGACACAACCCAGATGTCCATCAGTGGATGAATGAGTGCACAAATTGTTGTATCTACATACCATGGAATATCACTTGGCCATGAAAAGGAACAGAGTACTGATGTGTGCTACAACATGGAACAACCTTAAAAACATGTTAGAAGAAAGTAGACATAAAATGTCACATATTGTAAGAGTCCACTGATGTGAAATATCCAGAGGCTGGAGGTAGGGTGTGAAAGGGGAGAAGGTGGACTGACTGACCAGCTTGGAGGGTTTTTTTAGGGTGGATAAAAATGTTTTGGATTAGGGGAGGTGGCAGTTCACACAACATCATGAATGTACTAAATGTGCACGCACACACGGAGTGAGGATACAATGGTCAATTTTGTTTTGCAAGTTTTACCTCAATATAAAAAGGAAAGTAAACACATCTGCAAGTGGGTTCTCAGAAGCTGTCACCCTCCACCAGAACCTTGGTGAGCAAAGACCGAATCTCCTGGGATGGCATGCATCATGCAGCTGTGCCGCGTGTGGTTTCAGTACAGTAAACATCTGCACACCCCAGGCCCCTTTCACTGCTGGGAAGTTCATGGACTCTGGCTTCAGGCCTCCCTTTGCTGAATAGCACAACCCGCTAAGGGAGGCAGATAGACTTCTCTAACCAGAAGGTCAAATTTATTCCTACGCATGCATTTCTAACTGCTTGAGTTTATTGTCATGTAAAATGCCCTTAATTTTGAGCCATTCTAAAGACTCTTGATTATTTAAGAAAGCTCATAAATGTTTAAAAGTAACTCTGCCTAGAAGTTTCAGCTTGGTCGTTTTAAACAAATAACAGCAGAAGGAAGTGGTTCTAATCCACTGTTTGTTCTAATTTTAAAATGTGAATAATTAACCTTCCAGCAGCAAGAAGGAAAAAAAAACAAAGTTTAAGAGCAGTTCAATCCAATAAATGTCCAATTTAAAAATAGATTAGGACTGCTGGTACAGAAGGCCATCCTGATTTATTGCTGCGGCAATTTACATGAAACTAGTCATTACTTCAGTTAAACTGGGATAGCATTGATGCCCTTGAACTCTGTTCTCAGGCACTTATGTACTGGATCATGCTACCTTGTGGGAATTGTGGATTGTGGATAGCCCTGAAAAGCTGATATTTTTGCTACATCCAATTTTACTACCCCCCCCCGCCAAAAAAAAGGTTAAATTATTACAGATTTCTTATTCTACAAATCAGTTTCTCTCAGGTAGAAATACTGAGTCATTAATTCTTAAGGACTGTATCTAGAATTAATAAATACATATTCCCATACCCACCTCTGTTTTTAAAAAGTTTTGTTTAGCAGTGTCCTTATAATAGAAGCCTATGGTTCGGACCATTTTGTACCAGGATATCACTATGGAGAAAGGCAAATCCTTCCTGGAATCTTTGGTAGTTGCCAAACTCCCCCAAGTAGAAGAAATTTCACTGTTGGAGACTCCAGGGTATCAATGTGCTTATGACCGCCCTGTGTAAAATCTCCCTAAAGAAAGGAGGCATGAGAAGAGGGGGAAGGAGAAAGAGGAGCAGGAGAGGCAAGGGAGAAGGAGGAGAAGAAATTAGGAGAGACATTTTGTTTCTCCGTTCCAGAAGCAAGTAACACTGGAGACCCCGTGGAGCAAGCTAAACATTAACAACTGCCTCTGGTTGGTCTTTGGCAACAGGACTAGTGGTAGGAGCCTGGCTTTCAGAAGCCAGCAAGATGGGTTCAAAGCCTGACCTCACCATTTAAAAGCTGTGTGATCCTGAAGAAATTCGTTACCCTCTCTAAGCCTTTCTTTATCTACCAATAAAAATAATCGCACCTGTCTCCCAGAGTTGTCGATCTAAATGAGAAAACCGTCTCAAGTGCCTGGCGGGAGGGCACCATACCTCTCCTGCTGCCTGAAGCACCAACAACTGGAATCTAACCTGGAAGCTGATTACTCCTGTTGATGTTATATCAGGAAAATGAGGACACAGTCAATGCTATTGTCTTTTTTTGTTTTTTTATTAAAAAAAAACACAAATTAAATAAAATAATGATTCATTATATATAAAACCGCACTGAGTTCACGGTGGGGAAGACTCTGAAGACGGAGACAAGGATGTGTTTGGGGCGTGTTCTTTTTCTTCATATCTAGGAGGCGGTTCCGATGAGGGATGAGGAGTGTGGGAGAAGTCGGAGCGGGCAGGTGGCCCAGAGATGGTGTACACGAACTCTCGTGGTCTCTCGGGGGCCTGGCCCCGGCTCTCAGGAGCTGGGGTTCTGCTGAGAAGAAAGAGACCATGTTGCTAACACAACAACACCCTTAAGTACTAGGTTCCTGTCGATGTTTCATGACATGCATTTGGCAGTGGCGGCAGGGGTCTAAGGAGTCATTTCTCCCACATCTACGTTTTATAGATCTGTTTGGATTCCTCAACCCCTCACTTTTCTTAGAGCTGTCTATAACATTCAGACAGCCTCCTTCCTCCTGCCATCCTCCTTGTCACAGAAGAGGCCCTGAAGAGGAAGGCAGAGGGCCGGTTGGGGATGTGGATCTCCTTTGAGTTACTGGTGTTTTGTCGTGGGAGCCAGTAAACAAACTTATGCACATAGAAAATTATAAATGAAGCCATAGGCTTGAAGGCAGACAGAGGGGCACACTGGTTAATGGACCTGGGCTGGAATCCCACTCCGCTATGTTCTGGATATTTAACCCTATCTATAAATTGGGGTTGATATCAGTGCCTTCTTCCCAGAGTAGTTGTGAGAATCACATTAAGTAATGCAAGAAAATCCAGACTTGGGACTCAAGACATTACAGCAGCGGCAGTGGCTTAGTATTCATATTTTATTTATCTTTTTTTTTTTTTCCTGCCAGTGCTGGGGATGGAGCCCAGGACCTAGTGCCTGCTAGGCAAGCACTCTATCACTGAGCCATATCCCCAGCCCAGTAGTGGTTTCCTTTAAGTCACTAAATACTGATTTTATGGTTTTGGAAAGTTTGTCACTGAAGGAAAAAAAAAAATGCAAACTTCATTATCAGTACTGTCCAACTGGCCAGCCCTAACCTGCCTTTCTCCATGCAGGGCAACTCCTGCATTCACCTCCCAGTCCCCGCTCACCACCTGTGAAGCTCCAAGGCCTCCTCCCCGATCCTGTCCAGTCACCTCATTCCCTTTCTCATCAGATAGCCTGCCCCCTTCTTTTGTAAAACAAAGGATCTCCACACAACCTTGCTCTCTCCAGGATCTGGAGGCAAGGCGGATGTCCACTGGCTGTCCTCTCCAGGGCCACACACCTGGGTCTGCTCTATCTGGGTGGTGGGGTCTGGGAGCTGTTCACTTCCCAGGATGCACCCTCAAGGCAAGGAGGTAGAACACTGCCTTAAACATAATGAGAAGGCAAGGCAGCACCTGTCCCCAGCCGTAGTCACCAGGTCCTTTGACTCTTGCTTCTCCACCCGCTCAAAAACGTACATCATCTCCTTCTCCTGACCACAGATTTCTGACTCCTGCCCCAGCCTTTCACTTGGCTTGGACATTTCCAGCAACCCTTCCTCCTTTCCTGCTCCCTGACCTCCCCTTTGGACAGTAGCACCAGTGCTTTCTCCAGCCCTGCTCCCTGAGTGCTGCACAGCCAGGGTCTGCACCAGCCCTCCTCTGCCTGGGAATTCCCAGAACCCCTTCCTGGCACAGGTTTCCCTCCCACCCAGGGTCCGCTGGCCTTTCACTCTTGGCCTCCTCCTTTCAGCAACCTCTTTGCAGTTCCTTCTCTAGCACCTCCCTTTTCTCCAGGGGCCTGGCCCTGTCTACTCTTCCTCAAAGGCCCACGCTCACTATCCCCCCACCTCCAACCAGCCCACCTCTGGCTATCCAGAAGCCTGTCTCCATATCCTTCACCCTCATGGATCTCTCTACTGGAGGTCATTATCTCCCCCTCCTCAATGTCAGCCTGTGTTCCCATCCCTCTCACACTCTTCCAGACTCCTGCTGCCTCAGGTCCATCCCATTTGAGTGGGACTCCCCCGTCCTGTGTGAGGTAGGGTGTGGATCTGACATTTCTCTCCATCAGTCATAAGGCTCTGAGGCTCAGGGAAGGACTGCACCCAGAGGGAGGGGCACCACTGGGTCAGGTCAGGGTGCAGGCTGATTTAATCAGTTACCCAAGCACCTCCATTAGAATACTAAAACTCTATACCTGTTGGGGATCCCTAGGGCCCCTGAACTCCCCATAATCTAGGGCCCCTGAGTCTCCCCACAATCTAAAACCATGGAGACTAAAAAGGGCAGTCCCTGGTATTCATTTCTCCTCAGGATGGGAGAGTTATTAGACACTTTGGGGACAGCCCCTGCCAGGAGCACAGGAAGATGCCCTAAGATGGTGTCATATTAACCTCTTTTAACATATTTAACTTAGGTGCTGCCCAAAATTTCCTGAAAGGCAGTATTTATGCCAAGGCAACAATACTGACATGCCATCAGCAAAAAGATGCTCAACACACTATTCACTCTACAGCCAAAACCTTAAAGTTAGACCAGTCTGAATTCAGGTCTCGGCCTGTGAGGTTACACGCCAAGATCAAATGGCAAGTCTTACCCATCATTAAAAAGGCTGTAATAAGAAGGCGGGCTTTCGGTTGGAAGCAAGCTGTTTGCCCCAGGACTTCGAGTTCCTGCAGAAGCTGAAGACTCAGGAAAGTAAGGTGGCGGAGGGGGTGGGAATATTATCACAGAGTCACCTGAGGAAACACAATATTTGTTTGAAGACAGAGAAAACAAGTTAGCAAGAGCAAAATCAACTAATTCTATACTTGGTCCATTTATATACAGCAAAAGATCAAAACACCTGCTGGTTACTCCAAAACTAAAAGGTAGGCCTGTGGGATCCATATATAAAGTGAAACAGGTTAGCAGGGCCAGGGTGGGGCTGGGTAGGGAAACTGTTTAATGGGTACAGAGTTTCTGTTTGAGATAATGGCAAAGTTCAAAGTTCTGGAAATTGATGGTGATGATGGTTGTACCATACTGTGAATGTACTTAACATCACTGAATTGTGTATTTAAAAACTGTTAAAAGAGTAAGTATTTTTACATTTTACCACACTTTGTTTCTTTGACTTTATTTTCAAAGTGGGCCTGTATTTCAGAGCCCAGAGTGCTCACCACATGCAGGTTGGGCATGGCTTCTGTTTCACAGCAAACAAAAAATGATTTGTGTGAGGCATTTGTTAACAAGCTCCCTCCCCTCCCTGGGAGTGTCTACTGCTGGTAAAACTTTTCTCATTTTCAATGAATCGTTTTAATTAATCAAAAGTTGGGTAAAGGGCCAAGTTCCTCAACTTAGTTTCAGCCTTGGAACAAATGACAATAAACCGTTTTCTTCCCATTACTGAATTCATCAAAATTTCACCCAATCGGTATGGATAAAGGTCAAACTCAAAGAAAAGTTTGTATTTTGTATTTCTATGGCCACTGTTCACTCTAGAATACATACATCTCCATGTTTTGAGAAAGAGAAACTAGGGACCAAGAAAGTGCTGATTTGCATTTGAATTCCAATACCTTCAAATTTCAATGCACATCACCACAGGAATTACCCAGAACATTCTAGATGTGTGGCAGTGCCACCATCAGAGGTCAGATGAAGACCTCTAGTCAACTGGCAAAACCAAAGCAAAATAAAAGAGAGAACTTTATTTCCTTGTAGGGAAAAGACTTGTTTGCACTGGTAGGAAATCAGTGTGTACTGGTACTGATACAGGATTCTTTAAAAGCTATATGGGTCCCATTTGCCAATGACCAGTCCAGAATGGCCCTAAACAAGCTCTCCTCCTGCTGAGAAAACAGGAAGGAGAACTGGAGGAGACCATGTGTGTCCAGTGGTTACAGCAGGGCCAGGCAGAGAGCAAACTCAGGTCTAACACCCAGCAAAGGGCTTCCTTCCCTCCCGCAGGCCAAGGGCACTTATTTGCCTGATGAAGAAACACACCCAACTGGCAAGCTGTACCCTGGTGCCTAGATCACTTCCCCAGAGGTGATTTACCCTTTCAAAAATGCATTAACTCTGTCTCTATTTCTGCAAGGAGATGGCAATTGGAATTGACATATATACTGCTAATCTCAACTTGATAAAGTGTCAGGGCTCTCTTGGGATTCTCATTTAATTTTTTAGAAGGTCTTGATGGGTCACAGATTGGAATTCAGGGATCACTTTAATGACACAAAGCAGAATGAAAGACCTGTGAAGCAAGCCTCGGGGCAGGCCATCACCTGTCAAAAACAAACAAGGAAATGCTCAGAGTAGCCTATTATCTCCAAGGAAGTCCATCCCAGTGTCAGTTAGCTCTGCCACCCACACCTTGCAACCTGGGCTCCTTGGAAAGAGGCCTCGCCCTTGGGGTTCGCCTTCCTCCAGGCTTTCAGAACTTGATGTCCTCTGTGAGGTCACAGCAAACACCTCTGGAGGGAATCAGGGCCATTTCTTAACCTGCTCCTGAGTTTAGGATCTGGCACTGAGAGTGTCCATGGTAGACATAGCAGCTAAGATATAAACTCTCTCCCTAGCCTCCAAGGAGAAAAACTAGAGTGGAGATGCCAGTTTCACAGGCTTAATGGGGCGTACAGAGTTAAGTAGAAAAGATCTAGATCAATGCAGTGACTTCAGACCCAATTCTAGCACCAGGTGGGAGCCTGGACCTAGAAACTCCCCTGCTAGCAAACCCCAAATCTCCCAAGTAGGGAATTATAGCATCCAATGAATGAATTTACTTGTACCCCAGTGGGTTCCTCAAAAAAGCTGAGAACATCTATAACACCAGGGGACCCCTTTTCTCATATAATAACTCTAGTGCCAAAGCTGTAGCTTCAGAGTTTTAACCTTTTAAAAGCAAGAGATTATCAAAAATAATAAAAATTTGCACATGAGCAACCATGTGGTTTTCCTCAGTTGTATGAAACTGAGCTCAAAAGTACTGATATTTGCTCTGGGTGGGTGGGGGCGACACTGAAAATAGTAATCCACCTCTTCTTCAAAACCCAGGAGACCCAAAAGGAACTTTTAGGCATTGTGGGAGAAAGAAGTACCGTCATATTTCATCTCAGTCTGTCATTGACAGCCTTGAATCAACAGCCACTCTGATATGAGCAAACCTTGCCCCAAGCCCACAGTCAAGGGTGAAGTCACAGAAAGTAAATAACAATATGGGAACCAGTACAGAGAGTCCCCTTAAAACATCCTAACATACTTAGGACAGAACTGGACTCCTAGAATGTTAGTGCTGTAAGGAGTCTTAGAAATGTGGTGCTAATTTTATAGATATACAAATTAAGGAAGGAGAGGTTACAGGACCTATCAAGGATAGTCAGCCAGCCACAGCCAGGGAGGAGAACCCAAGAATCAGTTCACAGTTGATAGTACTATATGGTCTCAGCAGGAGAACAACAGGGAAAATGGGGGTAACTTGGTGGGTCCTGAAGGTAGACAGAGGTTTTTCTCACCTTCCTCTTAATCTTCTCTGTGCCCTCAGTCAAGTTCATTACTTAGTCTCCCAATGCTTTTGCTAAATAACAGTCATTGGGGAGAAATGATGTTAACAAGAATTCCTACAGGGGTCACCACAGCAGTGACATTGTGTATGTTTGCATGTTTTGTGTGTGTGTGTGTGCGCACATGTATGTACACAACGTGTGAGAAAGAAGAAGAAAATATGTAGACCAGACTTGAGGGTAGCCCCGTGAAGCCTTAAATCAACAGCCACTCTAGCATGAGCAAGTGCCCGAATGACAGCCACTCACCTACAGTGACCTGGACAGGCTCCATGTTGTGGGTATGTCCCTCTTCGCTTTCAGAGGCATCCTGGCTCACACTCAAGTTGTTTCTCTTCTTGATGTGGGCAACCACAAAAAAACACAATCCCACAAGCACAATCAAAGGCCCCATGATCTGCAGAGAAAGGAACCCACAGATTGGAGGCTCCATGCTGGCAGTTTCTGTCTGGTTCAGTGATTCCGACACCCAGTCTGAGCTACATCCAGGAACCCAAATGCCCAGTATGCTGATGAGCATGCCACTTGTCAAGAACAGAAACCCAAAGATAAGGCACTGAGCAAACTGGCGGCTCTCTCCACAGATGAAGGCTTGGTTTGGGTCTGCCTGGTCGCCTCGTCGCCGCCCCTGCAGGAACTGAAGTCGTGCCCTGGAGCGGGCCAGGATCACAGTCCCAAGCCCAATCACAGCACATGAAGGCCCAGCGATCTTTAGTACCATGCTGCAGTCTGGGAGGGATTCATTTTGGCAGGCCTGGTACCCAAAGATGGAAAGCAAGACTCCCACACATAGCAGGACGGCGCCCAAGACAAAGAGGAAGAAAATGAGCTTGCTGACATGCCTGTCCTGCTGGTCCCCTTCTGGCTCAGCCGTTGCTGTTGAAGACATGGCCAGGAAAGGCCCCTTCCCTGAGGTGACGTGGGATGTGTTTCCTTCTCCTCGGCGCCTTCAGAGCTCTGCAAACATTAAAAAAATGCTTAATTAAAGTAGGTCCAGGTGTTACTAACCAACCCTGCTCTTCACTGGCCACCCCAGAAATCACAGGAGGTAGAACTTTCTACAACTGTCACACAGTGCCACATCGAGTTGGTTGATGAATCAGAATGGCATCCAGAAACTCATGAATGTGTGATTGTATGAAGATTGTCAAAAAAAGGAAATCCAATTACCATGCATCTGAGATAAGAGTATGTTTTTTAAAAAAAATAAAATAAGTGGGTGTGGCTTTTCCTGTTCCGAGTCTTACAAATTCACTTCCCTCAAAGCAAAAAACAATGGGGAGCGAGGGAAGAACCACTGGGATTATTTCTGATTTACAGAGGCCCCATATTTCATCATAGCTGCTCTGAGAATTTCCAAGTCAGTAAGTTTTTGTTTGGTAACTAACTTTCCATTTCCTGTTTCGAGCTTGGGCAGCTTTCCATTTCATGCTTTATTCTAAGACTGTATCTACAGAAGACCCAAGTCCAGCAGTTTTAAGAGAATGGAACGACTGTTCAGGAATACACTGGGGTTGAGAACTTTGAAGTTAATTCTGTCAAAATATGGTTCTTGGGCTCTCAAGAGACACCTACTAGGGCTGCACTGCCCCTACACACACACACACACAAACACACACACACACAGTTGCAAGGGGCCTGGATGAGCCCAGAGAGTCTGGCACAGCAAGTCAAGTGGAGCCCCATCTCCAAGGTAACCTAAGGCAGGTGTTCTCACCCTCCTCCCCAGCGCCACCCACTTCCACAGAGGTTTGGACTCTGAGAAAATAAGTGGCTGATAAAATCACATTACAAAGCACTAAAGTCCAACAGAACTTGATTTTAAAAGACTATTATGGAACCAAGTGAGAAGCACCTTTCACAGAATTATCCAAGTCCTGCATTCACTTCACCAAGTAGTTGTTCAAGAGTTGTTTAGTTTATGCAGAACTGACTCTATCATCCAGTAATCTTGTCTTGCTCCAATGAATGGGAGTAAGGGCACTATGTGGGACACTGGCAAAGACAATACAAAGTCATGAAGTCACTTGTCCAAAAAAGAAAACCTGCAAAATAATTTTGTGTCACTCATATCCATGGCCACATGAAGTTCAAGACTGAGGCTCTAAACCCAAGACAGTCTTGACAACCAAAATTGTGTCAAAGGATAGTTTAGGTAATGAAAGCTAACAGGTGATCACATATCAGGAAGTACTTTTCCAGGAAAAAATGCGATAGAATCAGAAGGAAGTCAAAGAAAAGAGGAAATATAGGAGAGAAATAAGCTTTCACCAAACTGGGAAATACTATTATTTTATGAAGTTGCTATGAAGCCAAGAGAAAGATCTAAAGAAAGCATTACACTATTTTATAAACAACCTCTTGCTGGTTTCAGAGATAAGGGTGATTATCAGCTAAAAAGTCCTATCAGGAACTCCTTGTCTACTTGGTATCTTCGGCTTTGCAGTGAGTCATAAGGTTTCAACAAGTATTAAGGCAAATTCCCGAACACTAACAAAATAAAAAATAGAAGAAACTCAAAACCGATCCCCCCCCACACACACACCCCAGACTAGAAGAATAAATACCTGGCATAAATGTTACTCCCTGATCCAAAAGTGTGGGGTAGTCTCAGTGCCTCCACTTTTCCCTACAGATCAAACAGGCACCCAGGGGCATCCATACCAATATAAAAAAAAAATTAGACCTTTTCCAAATACCAACCTGATTTCAAATTCCCATCCCACAAACCAAATCTGCCTCCCCACAACACTCCTATAGGTTTTCCAGAAGACATTTCCAAACCAGCAGCATCTCTCCACGTCCAAAGTTCTGGTGCGTAAAGAGAGCTAAAGAGAAGCAACTGTCTTTTGTGTGAAACACTTTTGTGGGCTTTAGCGGAGCTTGGAGCGCAACCAACAACCGGAGTGGCACGGATCCCAGGGGCGCAGGTTTAGTGCAGTCCTGCGCGTCTCCGCGCTGCCGCCCTCCCAGCGCCCATCCTGCTGCCTCCCAAGCGCAGGCGCCGCGGGCCCGGGCAGCTTACCTGAGGCTGTGTGCTGTTGCGCTCGGCCGCGACGCGCTGCTGTGGGCACCAGGCTGGGCGCGGCGTCCGCCTCCCCACGCGGTCTCCGCGGCGTCCGCCACCCGCACACCCCGTTGCGCGTCCAGGCGCTGAGGGCGGGCCGCCACCGTATGGAGAGAGGAGGCGGTGCCGGACGGACGCAGCGGCCGAGGCAAAGCAGGACCGGCCGGCAGGAGCTGGCCGCCACCAGGTGCTGCCCTTCGGGGGCTAAGGAGAACCCCGCCAGGAAGCGGAGAGCCAGGGGCCCCTTGGGCTGGCAGACTTGGCCGCTTTCGCGCGTGTGACACTGTACGCGGAGAAATCGGGGGGGGGGGAATGGGAAGGCTCAACGACCTGTGGCCCGCACGCCAGGCTGCAGCACCCGCGAGCTGAGTCTCCCCCAGTCTGCCCGATCTTCAAGCTGCGCTGCTTGGGATGAAAAGCGGGCTACTGGAAGGGGAGCCGGTCCTTTTCAAGCCCTGGGGCGCTGAATCCCTGGGAGGGCTGAGTGCAGCGGATCCCAGGAGCGAAAGAGAAAGCCTCAGCCCCCTCTCGGGCGTGGTCGCGGCCGTGGCACAATGGGTCCCTCGGGTTCCCGCTGCCACAGCCAAGGCCACCGCACGGTCTAGGGCGATTACACCTAGTAGCCGTGTGGACCTCCTGCTGCTCCTGAGACCTTGACTGGGTAACCGCAGCAAGAACGTAATTGTGAGCTTCCTATGAATAGGACATGGAGATACCAGGGTCCCATTCGAATGAGACCTTAGCCATTCAGGCCTGAAGTCCTATCTCTGTCCCTTGGGCACTCACATGTATGCACACAGCCCTTCTTTGCCATAGAGCCCCCTTCCTGGTCCTCTGCCTCTAATGAACTGCCGGAATTAAACTGGTAACTTTCCCTGCCCTTGAACCGGGAGTTTCAGGATGGGTTTGCTAATCCCCGTGCTATTTGTAACCTGTCCGATGACATGTGACACGGATCCAACTGTGCTAGTTTCCACAGCAGAGGTCAAAGAGCTGTGGAAGGTGAGTCAAATGTTCTCGGCCCAAACACCGAGGCGCCTGAGCCCCAGGGACTTCCCCACCCTTGCTTTTTCTCTCTAGCTTCCTGTCCACTTTTTGAGATCCCATGCAGCGCTGAGGCTCATTGGATTAACCTTTTTATTGCCTACCTGATACAGCAAGTTATTACTGCGGGTGAAGTGTGAATTGGATCTAGCTAATTACCAGGGGTAAGGAGAGACTTGTGAAGAACAGGTCAGAGGTGGGTACAGAGGGAAGGGTGGTTACCTGGGCTTTGGGGTTCCAGGGATCAGATAAGTGAGATGGGGGCTCACGGGGGAGGCAATACTGGACAAGTTCCAGCCTAGAGGGCCACATGTGGACTTTGTCAGAGTCAGGGAGTCCTGACCACTGTGAATCCCTGCCATAACTAAATAACAACCACCACTGATATTAGCATAATGAACAATACTGACATTCAGCACTCCTGACTCTGAGCAGGTTCTGCACTTTGTCTGCAGCCCAGAGTGCGTTATTATGTCTCCAGTAACTCAGAAAGTTGGAGCCAGAAAGGGAACAGGGAAAGCTAGAAAACCAGTCATTTTCCAGTTGAGGAAAAGAGGTCCAAATAAGGAGGAGGGAAAAAAAGTGCCCCTGAACAGCTGGTCCATGTGGAGCAAGGACCTGAGCCAGATGCACTGACTTCAGTGTCCCTCCCTGGGTTCACCTGGTGTCCAGAGGACAAACAATGTTGTGAATTCAAAAAATAGTTTTTTATTACATTGTTTGGTGATGCCAGGTGGGGGATCATATGGATCATTATAACAATGAAAGCACTGTATCTCAAGGACATTGCAGTCATCCATATCTGGGGTGGAGATATCCTGGTCAAAGTATCGAGATACACCACCTTCATCCTGGTCAAAGTATCGACATACACCACCTTCTGGAAGATCAGCAAGATCTACCCAGCTAATGAGCAGAGAGACCCAATGGCAATTGCACAATATCAGCAGGCGCTGGGCTTTCTAAGAACTCAGGCCCACATTATAAGATTTGTCTCAGGCTGGCTCACAACTCTTCATCACACAAGAGGGCTCCCATTCCCTTTCCCTACTCATTCTTCCCTTCTCCCTTATTTGAAAGTCAATCTGTGGTCAAGTCCTGTGCAGACCTGTAAGAAGCCTGTTGATACAGCTGCCCCTCTGGTGCCACATGACTGCGGGCTCGCCACCCATGACAAACTTCAGCGTCCTGGCACCAAGGACAATCAGATTAGCCTCCTGTTGGGATATCTGCTGCTTGGATTGCTTGGGTCTTGTGGAACTCATTTTGGCTAAATTAAACTCCTTGAAAACTGATCATCAGTCAAAAATGAAGGACACGCCCACCAGGCTTCAAAGTGCCTGTCTTCATAGTAGACATAGTCTTAGGAAAGAGTCTGGGAGACTTTGTCACTCCCCCCAAACAGGGGATCTTCCCTAGCCCGTGTGGCAGTGAGAAAAGATAAGCCCAGACAATCCTTTGAAAAATGGCATCAGGTCAAGGTTTAAAAATTGGATGAGCCTCAAATTCCATCAGTGAAAACAGGGGGATGAAGTGGATACCTGCATTCATTTATTCATTCAGCAAATATTTATTGAGTGCTTATCATGTACCAATAAGGAAGACAGATAAAACCCTTTGCCCTTAGGAACTTAAGAGTATTTCAATGAGGAAAAGACAATAAAATATGTAAATGGAACAGAGTGTTCTAAGGCTTTAGGAAGCACTAAATCAGAGAAGAGAGCTGGGGAGGGCTGCGGTATTCCAGCTGCAACAGAGTAGGTACGGAAGACATCTCTGCAGAGGTGACACAACGCTGCAGCAAAAGATTGAAGGGAATGAGGAAGCAAGGTATTATCTAATACTGCGTAACAAATTACCCCCAAATTTAGAAGCTTAGAACAACAAAGACTTATTATCTCTCACAGTTTCTGAGGGTCAGGAATGTGGGAGTGGCTTATCAGGTGTGTGCAGGTGTGACTGGGGCTGGACATCTGCTTCCAGGTGGCTATTGATAGGAGGCCTCATTTTCTCACCACACACCTCTCCACAGAGTTACCAGAAGGTTCCTTCTGAGGTGGTAAGTAGCTTTCTCTAGTGTGAGCCATCCAAGGCTCCTGCACCTTTTATGATGTGGCCTCTGAAACCCCACACTAACAAGTCTGCTTTAGTCTAGCCCTTAGGACTCAGCCATTAAGTCAGGGGGAGAAGGATTAGACTCCACTTTTAGAGGAAAGAGTACCAAAAATTTGTGAATGTGTTTTATGATATTTGAGGGAAAGAAAGAGTACTTGAGGTCAAGATAACAGCAAATGCAAAGGCCCTGAAATAGGAGCATGTATATTCGCGTATTCAAAGAAGAGTAAGAAGGCCAGGCATAGTGTTGCACACCTGTAGCTCCAGTGACTTGGAATGTTGAGGTAGGAGGAGCAAAAGTTCAAGGCCAGACTTGGCTGCTTAGCAAAAACATGTATCAAAATAAAAAATAAAAAGGGCTGGGAATGTAGCTTAGGTAGAGTGCTGCTGGGTTCAATCCCCAGTAACTCACACCACACGCGCACACACACACACACACACACACACACACACACACAAAGAACAAGAACAAGAGACCAGCCTGGCGTGGTGGCACATGCCTATAATCCCAAGGACTCTCAAGGCTGAAGCAGGAGGATTGCAAGTTCCAAGTCAGCCTCAGCAACTTAGTAAGGCCCTCAGCTACTTACAAGACTCCGTCTCAGAATAAAAATTGAAAGGGGCTGGGGAAGGAGAAGGAGAAGGAGAAGAAGAAAACAAGAGGCCAGGTGGTGGGTATAGGTTTGCAAAGGAGTAAAAAGTAGGAAAGGAAAGGTGTATATGATGCCAAATGCACCAGGTTGGGCAGGGACTTGGAGGTTGTTATATATATTGTGAATACATGGTGGGGGCTTTAGGTGGTTTGTAAGCTGAGTATGTTGTGATGTGACCATGACTATGTCGACGACGACGACAACTTTGAAGATAGTGTCTCAATGTGCTGCCCAAGTTGCTCTCAAACTCCTGGGCTCAAGTGATTCTCCTGCCTCAGCCTCCCCCGTAGCCAGAACTACTAATTTATTTTTTTAAAGAAATTGATGACTGGCCCAGTGAGAATAGCCCAAGGAAGAGGAAAAGTTAGTAGGAGCCTGGTTTGGAAGCTTTCTAACGCCCTGCAGCTTGTGTTTGAAGACAATTAAAGTGATTAGACTGTGGATGGACCTTGAAGATGGACTCAGTAGGATTTTCCATGGACTGGATGTGGTTTTGATTCCGAGGTTTGGGAAGGATGGTTCTGGCATTAAGCAGGATGGGTACGGCTGGGAGGAGAACAAGGCGGAAGCTGCAGGGTTTGCTGGAGAACACTAGCTTTGTCCCTTAGACACCGGAGTGGAGAAGCTGAGCAGGCAGGTGGAATATACAACATGGAGTTCAGGAATTCTGGAAGGATTCCTGTGTTCTGTCAGCAATGTTGATTACAAAATCAGGAAGTCAGCCCCTTCTCACAGTTTGCTTGTATATACTTGGTCTAATTGTCAGTCCTGCACATGGAAAGCAAGGGCAGACTGATGCCCACACATGTGCAGCTGCCAGGTGTCCCCTGGGACAGATGGCAGCCAGTGCTGAGTGTGTACTGGGCAAGGGCTTCTGGGGTTCTGTTGTCAAAGTGGCCTTCAGGAACACCAAGGAACATGTGTCCTTCAGTCCAAGACAGCCCACATTTCTCCCCAAGGCTGTGCCAAAACTGGGAAGACATTCAGGGCACATGGTGTGGATGGGTTTGCAGAGTTCACTGATACTCTATTTCAGAGTTCTCAA